TATAGAAGGAGGTTCTGGCTGACAGATATGAGTACAGACTTACATGCATGATCTATTCTGCTCTCTGTGTGAGGTTAATATTGCTGGAGTGCGTGGTGTGAAAAAGTGGATGTGGCTGGAGAGTGAGGCGAGGGCTTGATTGTAAAATCTTTATAAAGTATGTGGAAAATAAAAAAGCGAAGAGTTCAACACAAGGCAGAGTCATTGCCAAATTTTGATCATCAGCCAGCCACAATCAGGTGTTCATGTTAGATCATCATGGCAGTATTAAGGAGGAGAGATAAGAGAGAAGTAAGGTTGGATCTTGGTAATAAATAGCTCAGGGTAGTGGTAATGAGGACCACATTTAATGGAGAGAAGCAAAGCTAAAATAAAGTGAGAAATAATCAGGGGTTATATATAGATTAGGTTAGGTTAGGTTAGATTAGGGGTGTGTGTGCGTGTGTGTGTGTGTGTGTGTGTGTATTTTTGTTTGTACAGGTGAATTCAGGTGATGGGTGGGCAGGGGTAATGGAGATGGATGAATGTAAGATGATACCCTGACTTGGGCTTAAAAGAAGTTGAGAGCATGCTCTAAGAAGTAAGCACAAGAGGTGCTCACATAGCCCCTTGTCTGTTCTTGTCTTATGGCCACACCAATTCTGCCTCTTAATGAAGACTAGTTCAACAATTACTGATTATGTATTAGCCCCTCTTCCACTCCATAAACTTTTGGGGGACAGGGAGAGATGCACTATTGGTCCTGGGATAGTCTTCTCCTCGCAGTAGCTTCACAGACCTTTATATGTTGAAAATGTTTAAAACTAATCAATGGAAAAATAACCCCATTAAATTACTGCTACATAGATTCAAGTCTCAGAAAAAATACCCATACACACAGGCATGTATTTATATGAGTTTAATATTTAAAAGTACTTGATTTTCAAAATGAAAATGTTAAATCATGATAAAGACTTTAAGAATTCTTGCATAAACAATAAAGAAGTGAAATGCCAAAAAATATATACTTGGAAGTGCCAACTAATCCAATAAGTAGAAAAAGCTCACTATGCATTTAATTGACTATGTGGGCCCAGATAATGTTGCCACTGCTTTCTTTAACCATGAAGAACGTAAATAAATATGCTTTAAAATGATTCCTCTTCATTACCACTTCCACCTCCACTGAGGTAAAGAAAATAAAATTGAAACGGAAAAAATATAGCTAAATATGCTATTTTCACACACGTAGTTTATGATATAGAAAATACTCATAAACATGCCATACACAGCAGAATTCATAATCAAGTTGTGAGAAAACTTTTTATGCCCAGAAGAGAAGAGAATTCTCCTGGTGAGATATTTCCTAGAAGAAAGGACTGGCTCCTGAAATTGTGCCCTGATGCCTTCCTTCAAAGATCTTAGGAATGTTTGAATAGTGTGTGTATGAAAGCACGCACGCGCGCGCGCGCGCGCGCGCACACACACACACACACACACACACATGTAACTACAAAAGTGCAACTGAGAGTGTATATGTGTTCATCAAGAGAGAAAAAGATATTTGTGAAAAAGTTGCTTCTAAAGTTTGAGTTCTACACAAATCCTTTCTTTGTTGTTGCTGTTGACTTTATGAAGGTGATTGATTTTCATTTTCAAAATCTGTCACTTCTGGGGCATCTGTTTTGGGGGCAGACTTCTTACAGCTGCAGCAGAGTGTGCCTGTCACTAGCCCCGTTGCTCAGTCACCATCTCCATTTATAGTTGGTTTTTTAAGTGTTCCAAACAGGAACTCTGAGTTTCTGCTGATCTTGAGTCATCAAAGTAAAACTTGATTCCTCCCCTTTCATTCAAGTCTTTTATGCTGACATTTTTTAAAGCCTGACATGGTTGACTAAAAAACCCTGACCCTCTTAAATGAGTATTGATTTTAGAGTTCCTTTTGGATATACATTTAAATAGGCTTTTTAATAATAAAAAAAAAGCTGTATCTCTTTCCATTGCACACTATTGCAACCATCTTTATGCAGAAGGTAAAGTTCACTCTACCAAGACAAGACTATTCAGGTTGCTTAAATTACAAATGTGAATTGCAAGTCTTTCCCTTCAAAGATTAATATTAAAAAGAGGGAAACATATAACTCTATTCCACAGCCTCCTGTAACTTAACAGAACTAAATCTAGATTTGCAAAAGCCCTAGGAAACAGCAACTGTTACAAATATGTGGGAAAGATAGCTGTTACAGTCAGGATCCCATAAAAAATAATGGCACATTGAAGCTAGCTTCTCTCGGGAGTTAATTTATATAGGCATCCTATACATAGAAGCACAGAAAAGTCATAGGGACGGACTGATGATCTGGGGTTAGCAGAGTCAGAGTTGTCATCTCATGTAGGCTCAAGGGGACCAGGGCAGAGAGCAGTTATTTGGACCAGGAAAGAGAGAGTGTTGTAGAGGGTAATTTCTAGAGAGGACCAGTGACCCTTCCTGGCAACTGGGAACTCACAGTCAACTTGCCAGACGATATGTGTCCCAAGAGTCTATCAATGTTAACAGGGGCACTATTGTTATCTTGGGTTTGACAATCATGTGTTTTGTCCTCCATCCATCTAATGATAATAGCATACCCTAGTCACTGTGAATAAAAAAAAAAAATGCCCTGACTCATTTCTAAAGTTTCCCTGGCCAGTAGTTATTTTTCTCTTTCTCACTGGAAGTGAAATGTTAACCAAATGGCCGTGGGAATGTTTTAATCTTTATCTCTGAATCAACCTAGATCTCCAAAAAGCTCTTCCCCAAACACTAAATATCTGAATCAATAGACTTTTATTTGATGGTGGGAGCAAGATAGTGCACCATTTACAGCCCCACATCCATGTTCCAGGCAAGAAGGGGGAAAAGAGAAAAAAAGTAGGAAGGTTTGATGATTATGTCAGGAGAACCCTAGTTTTCTCAAAAACATTTAGTGCGCATCTCATTGGCCAGAACCATGTCACATAGCAGCTTCTACTGACAAAGCAGTATTAGGCAGTATATTAAGTGGGCATATTGCTGCCCTGAACAAAATTGAAATTCTTGAGTAATGAATAAGGGAATGTGTATGATGAGGAAGCAGTTTCCAAGCTTTCCCAACCTTGACTTATCTCCCATCATAATTTTAGCCTCCCATAGTTCAGAGGGAAGATATTTTCACCTTTGTGTCATTAGGGCATTCAGTAAGTATTTCTTTTTTTTTAAATTTCATGATGACAACATAAGGTTATATTTTAGTTTTTCAATTACAGTTGACATTGAATATTATATTAGTTTCAATTATACAGCATTAAACATTCATATAACTTAACAAAGTGACTCCCCCCATAAGTCTTGTTACCCACCTGGCACCATATATAGCTGCTACAATGTTATTGACTTTATCCTCTATGCTGTACTTTGCATCCCCATGACTATTTTGTAACTACAAATTTGTACTTCTTAATCCTTTCACCTTTTTTACCTAGTGCCCCACCCCCTCTCCCATCTGCCATCTATCAATTTGTTCTCTGTATCTATGAGTCTGTTTCTGTTTTGTTATTTCATTTATTTTGTTCTTTAGAATCCAACAATAAGGGGAATCATATGATATTTGTCTTTCTCTGACAGACTTTCACTTAGCATGATAACCACTAGATCCATCCATGTTCTTGGAAATTGTAAGATTCCAGTCTTTTTTATGTCTGAGTAATATTCAGTTGTATAGTCAGTATTTCTGAGTTGAAGGAATGAATTCAACAGACACCAGGAAGATGCATTTCAGTCGTTTTTGGTAAATTACTCTTTGATCTAAAATTTAGCATCTCCTTGGTTGTGCTGGAGTGTTTGTTGCTCTCAATACCCTCTTTGCATTTATTCATTCATTCATTCATTCATTCATTCATTCATTTAATTTGATTTCCATTGCCCAGTCCTCCAGCTTTCTTTCTCTACTACCTTCTTTTATCACTATGGTGCCTAAGTGTTGGGGTAATTTGATTAAGATCATGGTGTTCAACATATTTTTGTTGTTGTTAGTGTTTTTGGTGTTATACATATTTAATAAGAACAAAAACATTGCCAAATCTAATGTGATGAAGCTACCTCTCTATGTTTTCTTTTAAGAGTATTATAGTTTGCACTGTTATGTTTAGTGCTAAAGTTTTAGTTTATTTTTGTATATGGTGCAAAGTAAGGCTCCAGTTTCATTCTTTTGCATGTGGATAGCCAATTGTCCCCACACTATTTATTGAAGGGACTCTTTTCTTCCCATTTTATGGTCTTGGCACTTTTGTAAAAAATCAATTTAACATGCATTCAAAGGTTTATTTCTGGATTCTCTATTTCATTGGTTTATATATCTGCCTTTATGCTACTACCACACTGTTTTGATTGTTATAATTGTATAATAAGTTTTGAGATTGAGCAGTTTGATATCTTCAATTTTGTTTTCTTTTGTCAAGAATGTTGGGCTATGCAGAGTTTCTTGAAATTGCATATGAATTTTAGGAGGGATTTTTTTTATTTTTTTTTAAAAAGGCACCTTTGGGATTTTGAAAAGTATTTATACCAATAAATCTGTAGACCACTCTGTGAAGTATTAACATTTTAACTCTATTAAAGTCTTCCAACCCATGAACTCAAGTAGGTTTCTATTTATTTCTGTCCTCTTTAATTTATTTAAGCAACAGTTTATCGTTTTCAATACAAAAGTACATATTTCACTTCTTCGGTTAAGTTTATTCCTAAGTATTTTTATCTTGTTATTGTAAATGACATTGTTTCCCTTACCACCTTTATGGATTTTCCATTTTTAGTTCACAAAAATGCAGCTGATTTTGTGTTAGTCTCTTCTCTGAACTCTTAGAAGCCAAGAGCCATGCTGTATTTGTATTTTGTGGAGTTAATGTAAAAATAATAATTGGAAGTTTTTAATATATTTTTAAAATTTTCCATTGGCAATAATGTCTGTTTTTTGTTTGTTTTTTTCCTTTCTCTCTCTTTTCAGGGCTCTGCCAGTGCAACAGCCTCTCCTCCAGTCTCCACCCCTGTCACGGGACACAAGAGAATGGTTATACCTAACCAACCCCCTCTAACAGCAACCAAAAAGTCTACATTGAAACCGCAGCCTGCACCTCAGGCTGGGCCCATTCCTGTGGCTCCAATAGGGACACTAAAACCCCAGCCTCAGCCAGTCCCAGCCTCATACACTACAGCATCCACCCCTTCAAGGCCTACCTTCAACGTGCAGGTGAAGTCAGCCCAGCCCAGCTCACATTACATGGCTGCCCCTTCACCAGGACAATTTTACAGCCCAGGGTCAGGGCACCAGGGCTATAACATTCAACCAGTTCCTGTTGCTGGTCAAGGTCCACCTCCTCCAACACGGGGAGGCATGGATTATGCATATAACCCACCCCCAGGCCTTCAACCTGAGCCTGGGTATGGATATGGCCCTAACCAAGGTCGCTATTATGAAGCTTATAGCCCAGCAGGGCCTGTGTATGGAGGCAAAAATGACTCTGATCCTGCCTATGGTCAACAAGGTCACCCCAATACCTGGAAACGGGAACAAGGGTACACTCCCTCTGGGACAGGAAACCAGCACCCTACTGGCATGTATCCAGTTGCCAGTCCCAAGAAGACCTATATCACAGATCCTGTTCCAGCCCCCTGTGCACCACCACTGCAGCCAAAGGTAAGATACTCATTGTCATAGTGACAGAAATAAAGGGCTGCCTATCTTGGCCAGCCTTCCCAAGAAAGCAGAGCCTAAGGCAAAAAATGTATGTGCTCTTTTAATTTAATTAGAAACTACAATGCCAGGGAAGCAAGAGTGAAG